TCCAGTATCATTTGTCCATGTAGTTTCTTCAAATCCTGAAACAAAATATTAGCATTTTAACAATTTGTTAAATTATATGAAACATCTATTTCTCGAATGATATACAAAGTAAAAACAAAAAAGGATATTGCTCAGGGTTTCAAAACACAAAGAGCTAGGGAAAGTATTAAAGGTTTTATGACTTGAAAATCTATCTGGAATGCAATTACAAGACATTACCCGCTGCCTACGGCTTTCTGGCTCTTTCCCTCTTGGCGTAATATAGTGTAATTCCTTCAAGCATAGAAAGTCGACGGATTTGGAAACCACAAACATAAGGCAATTTGAAAAGATTTTGCTTGAACAACCAACTAAAAAGAAACTAGTATTTAATTCACTCCTCACCGCCCACAATGCTTCTAAATAACCACTAAGAACTAGCTTCTTGACAGAGCACTTACACAATCATATGTTAATTCAATGCCTTTTTCCTTCTCTCATGCAATAGTTCTGGAAGTCAGACCATCACCCATTGCTACACGCAAAAAAGAGAGGCCATTTTGAAATTATACAAACACAGATGCAGGAAAAGAAGTTTCATCCAACAAACAGAATCAAATGGCAGAGAAATGAAGTTGGAAGAAATATAGTTTAGGCTTGAAGAAAACAATATCAAAAAACCAAAAACTAACTAAACTAGAGCCATTACTACATAATTGCTTATGAACTCACAAGCATAACTTCACATCCAAATTTGGCACCTTTGATGACGCCTCCATGAAAACTTTGGTCTCACCACTACATTTAATTAATTTAATACGTAATCCATTATAATATTATGCTAGTTTTTGATTCAGTTTGATGTTGCATAAATTAAGCCATGACGTAAATAAGAAAATCTTGACAAATATGGTAATTATTGTGTACCTGGAATTTTGTTGACCAAGGCACGAGCTTTCTCAGCTCGCTTGAGAGTAAGATGAGCACCTCTCCCAGCATTGTATCGATTATCATCCTGGAGGATAAACAAAACAAAATACATAGTTAAATTCTCAAATATAGCTATGGTTAAAAAGTGGTCAAAATTGGCAATGTTGGAGCAGGTTATAAATTACTAACCCTGTTGTACTCCTCAAGCCAAGACTCTTCATCGCATGCTGCCAACCATGTCTCAACCCTTTCAAGTATCTCTTTTCTGCTAAAAGCTTCTTCTTTGACTTGGCAACCTGAAGTTCAATTTGTTCAAGCACACAAGCAGGGTCCAACATTGTAGTAGCAAGATCTTGGAGCTACGAAACCCTGAGTTATTACAAATATAACCAGAGGGGAAAATAACAAAATTCACAAAATACTAAATACAAATGGAAACTGTTTAGTTCTTGCACAACATTATATAATAAAGGAATGTTAAGTACGTTCAGTTTTCCACAATGATTAGATAAATAACAATAAAGTATAAATAAGCATTCAGAAGAAAAGATAATACATATAAAGTATAAGCATCCCATCAAGAAAGTTTCATAAGATAGAGACGGAGGTGCATTACCAAGAGATTGTTGAGATATAATTGCTGCATATGCTTGTTTTTTGGTACGCTGCTCCTGAATACTTGCCTCGAGTTCTTCAACTCTAGCCTTTGTAGAAGCAATAACATCCACCAAAGCCATTCGCTTGGCCTCTTTGCGAGTCTTGACTGCACGTAAAAATAGAGGCAATTATTTGAAGGTCGAAAGGAATTCAACTGAAAATTGAAACGGAAATGCGAAATTAAAATTGAATACAAAAAGTTGGAGTCACCAACAAGTGCTTTGACCAAATCATCCTCAGTGTCTCTCAGTTTAGCTTTTGCCTCGTCTAGTTGAACTGGGAAGAAAGAAGAGAGAGTGTGTGAGAACAGAAACCCTAAGACGAAGGTAGTGAAGTAAAGAAGGTTTGGAGTGGAAACCCTAATGTGTGAGAAGAAAGCGTGTGAGATAATTGAATGGAAGTGAAGGACCTTGACAGCGAGCGGTTTCTTGCACTGTATGTAGGAGAGGGCGGAGGGATTCGGAAAAAGAAGTGTGCTTGGAGATGCATAGGTGTGTGCGAAGTGTGCTTCGAGACGCTTCACGCGAGAATAAAGTTTCGAAATGAGAATGAACTTTCGAAATAGAGAGTTTGCACCTTTCCTTTCAATATCTATATGTTAAAAAACCTTTTAGTCTCCCAAAATAAATCTGGTCCACTAACGTAGTACAGGATGACCAGAATATCAATCCTAGGACTCATGTTAAATTTTAGAATGTATAGTTAGTTCTTGTACTTTATTTACTAACTATTGACTAATGCAAGGTGGGACACTTAAAATGAAAACAAAGAAGTTAAAACAAAGAAAAGAAAGACTAAACTATAACCTGTTTAAAATAAAGAAGGAAGTGTAAAATGAAATAAAAGAGAAGAAAATAAAAGTCTAAACTACCTAAAACAGAAATAAAACCTAATTACTATAACTACCTAAAACTGATATGGAAACATGCATGATACAATCTAAACAGAACTCAAGTGCTAAATGAATCAATCAAAATAAGGAAAAAAAATCTTTGAAACAAAATTACAGAACAGAAACAAAACATAAGTCTGACAGAATGCATTTACAATCAAGAGATATTCCTAAACTAAGCATCAAATCTAAATCAAAATAAAAAACCTAAAGTGAACATCTAATCATACTCTAAACAGAATTAATCAAAACAATCATGCCAGTATTATCAACTAAACTGAAATTAACAACTAAATTCTATATGCAGATGTAAACAATACCAAATCAATCTATCATATATGCAAATCAGCTACCAGAGATACAATCAACATAAATGTGAAAAATCCAAGAATCACCAAAGAGAATTGATTAAAATAAAAAACTAGAATCAAATTCATAAAGAATCAATGCACTGAGTGGTTGATCATATACCAAGAAGACATCCTGTGAAAATAAGCCCATTAGAGGGTCTTAAAGTTCATTTTCAGAACTTAAAAGTCAATGATCAACACTCAATTCATCAAAACCACAATGAATCTAAATCTAATTCATGCTTCTAATCAATATCAGAGATGGAATCTAAGCTTAATGCAATTAAAATCTACGTCTACTCTAAAACACATAAAATCCTGATTAAAATGAAATGACAGAAGCAAGTATAAGATTCACAATATGTTTTTCATTCATTGGACTCATCTCCAACTAGAGAAGACATCTCGATAATGCATGCTCACTATAAAGTCATGTAATTCCCAAAGGAATTTCAATTATGTGGAGTTATAGAGTCCAAATCAAATTTTCAAAGTAAAACAATTTCAGAAATCAAAAGCAGAGAGCAATCTCAACAGAAGAATTGATTTCATAGGAGAATGCACATTGGAGTGAATAAAGAATGCTTAGAGTTCTCAGGAAGACATCCTTTTAATTTGAATCCCACTACAAGTTATTATAGGTCATATTTCAGAACCTAATTTGACTCTTTCCACACAGTTATCCAACCAACGTTCATTTGCATATTCATCAATCTAAAATTGAAAACCAAATGCAATGAAGCATAGAACAAAATTGAATTCAAAATTGAACTGAAATCATAAACCAGAACTAGAATAAAAAGCATTGAAATTGAAATTTTATTGAAAGTAAAATGAAAGATACAAAAATTTGTACCAGAAACTGCCAAAAGAGAACCGCAGATTGTCACTGATCCTTGATCCTCTTCAACAAAATCTAGACTTAGAGAATTCTAATTTATGAAAGCGGTAAACCTAGGCTACTCTCTATTCTACTCTGTTTCTATGTACAACTGTAAAAGAGTCTCTATCGCAATCTCAAAGTCTCTCTCGCGGAGCCTCTCACCCTTCGCGTTTCTTTTTACACTATCGATGTACATGCCCTTTTATAGGGTCGAAGAAGGAAGAAAAAAATGAAAGAGGGAAAAGGGGAAAGGGAAGATAAGTCGAGAACCTTCGACGCTTTAAGCTTCTCCCCATCAAACGACCAAGCTTCTTTTTGCTTCCTTGCTTTCCTCTGACTGTTCGATCCTCTCCATGTGGCAGCTCCGGTCAGCTCTACCTCTCCGGGAAGCATCACACCAGTGGAGTTCTGCTTCTCGCTTTGCTTTCTCTCGAGCAAGCCCTAGCTTTTGGTGCTCTTCTCTCTTCCAAAATGAATGTTTGTGCAAGAGTGTATGTATCAAATGAGTTGCTCGAGCAAGGACCCCAAATCAACAGTTGCACATCACCAAACGCATCAGAAACCACACCGTTCCACTAAAGGAGAATCAACCTAACCATAGGCAACGACCCATTCTATGGGTGTTGCTCCCGCCACCACCACACCATGTTTCCTCCACCTCCCCAAATTCTTTTAATTCCAATTATATCCTTAGGTTAAAACTTTTTTACTTTTACCATTGTGGATTTTTTTAATTAATTTTAAAACCTTATTTCTACTCATTTTTGCTACGCAACTACACCCCCACCCATCTCTTACGGATTCCTCTCTTCCCCATTTTAGTTTCACTTCCTCTCATTTATTTTTCCTTTCATTTCTTTTTCCTTCATTTGTCTCTTCCCCATTTTCCTTTTGGGTTTTATTACTTCCATTGTTGTTGATCTCTAGTGTGGAGGACCATCGAGGAGCGTGGATCCATATTTCATTCGGTTTGTTTTCGTCTCCATCCAGGTTGGTTTTTTTCAACATTCTTTTTTAGCCTTGTTTGGTAGTTTAATTTATGGTGTATTATTATTTTTTGATATGTGCTGTTTTGTTGCTGCTTGTGCACTGTCTTTCTCCTAGTTGTATTGTTGGTCGCCTGAACAGAGCCCCCCACGAAGGCCAAAACGGATGTGGGATATCCGTTTGGCCTTCAACGGATGTCCGACATTCGTCTTTTGTGAAAGGAAATTAGCACCTGCATCTGCAATAGGTGCACCAGCCACACCTCCATCTGTTGCACCTTTGCAAGATTTACTTAGCGATTTGATGGGCATGGATAATTCCTTGCTATTATGATTACACTGAGGATGTAGAAAATGTTGGATTTCCATGTGATTGATTTTGTTTTTGGACATGTGCAGTTGTACACTGGAGATTTCCAAAAGCGCATTGGCATAACATCTGGTATTTGCATTTTGATCCAAAACAAAGCTGAAAAGAAAGGGGACAAATACGAAGCAATCTTTAGCTTCTACTTTGGAGACTATGGTCACATAGCAGTGCAAGGACCATACCTTACTTGTGAGGACTCATATTTGGCTGTGACTGGTGGATCTGGAATTTTTGAGGGAGTTAAGGGTCAAGTGAAGCTGCATCAAATTGTGTATCTTTCAAGATTTTATACACATTTTACCTAAAGGGTATTAAGGATTTGTCTCAAGAGCTTCTCATGAAGACGGTTGAACCCATTCCATCTGTTGACGCTTCTCCTGCTACTAAAGCCCTTGAACCCAATGCCACCATTTCTGGTTTCACAGATTAAAGTTCATCTTTTTATTACTTTTTTTATTTTTATTTTTTGGCTTTTTGTAGTTTAATATAAGTTTCTGAATAACAAGTGTGGTGTTTGATGCTTTTCTTTATGTAGTAGTGGAGTTTCTATATGATGAAAAACTTGACATTGTTCCATGGTGTTGTTTAAACAAATATCATGTGTAACAAAAACAAGTGTGTTTCCCACCATTGGTGTTGGACATTTTATATGTTTTAGTTATTGTTTCTTATGCCTTGTTAAAGCAGCACATGGTTTTTTTTATATTGTGGGTTTTTTATATTTGATTTAAAATATAAAAATAAAATGATCATAAAATAATAAGTTTAGGAATAAAATCATCATAAAAAAATAAATTTTTGTATTTCTTTTAAAAATAAAAGAAAAAAGTGAAAAGGATAGTATCACAGTAAAAATTTATGTGTGGGAAAGGAAGAGAAATGAGAGAAAGTGAAACGGAAATGGAGAAAAGAGGAATCCGTGAAAGATAGGTGGGGGTGCAGCTGCGTAACAAATATGAGTAGAAATAAGATTTTCAAATTAATTGAAAAATCCTAAATGGTATAAGTAAAAAAGTTTTAACTTAAGGATAGAATTGAAATTAAAAGAATTTAGGGAGGTGAAGGAAGCATGGTGTGATGGTGGAGGGAGCAACACCCCATTCTATTCTCAACAGCAGTAGCGTTGGCCTATTTTACTTCCAACCAGCAGCAGCCCAACAAAATATGCAATTGCCCAACATTTCAATTAATTTTAATCAGTAGTAGTGTTTCAGGACGTGGCAGCAGCAATCCAAATCAATCAAGTGCAGCGGCCCAACTCTTCTAAATTGATTCAGCCTTTCAGCCCAATTGTACTCAAGAACACCAAATCTTAAAAAATTGAATTAAAGGGTTAAAATGCAAATAAGAAAAGGAAGAAAAAAAATGAAATTAAAACCTAATTAGAACAAACAATTTTATTGAAAGAATTTCTAAAAATACTAATTCCCTAATTATTAACAAAAGCTAAAAATTACACCTAAAAACATCTTTTTAACTAAAATTCTATAAAAGTAATGAATTAATAGAAAAACCTAAACTATCCTAATTCTAAACAATAAGAAACTAAAAGAAGCTAAGAAAGACTTCTAAGCACAGAAAAATATGCAACTTTGGAGAGTTATCACTATCATAATATGTTTTCACCATAATTTCCATTTTGCCACTGCTTCAACTTATTATAATAGGTGACATTTTACCTATCATAGTACATGCAACTTTTATTACAAAAATGTCACATCTACATCTATTGTGATAGGTTTCTTAAAATACATCATAATATATCTTATTTTTATTACAAAATTGCCATCGGTCAATGTATTATAACAGGTGGATTTCACCTATCATAATATCCCGTCATGGAATCCTCTTTTTCCACTAGTGATTTGCTTAACCGATTACATTATTTAGCTAATCGATTAAAATGCGTCTATAGTGATATATGTATAAATAGATGCATTGCTTTCTGTTCTCAACAACTTTAATGATTCATAACTTTCATATCTGACGTTGTTTGTTGAGTTTTATTACAGGAGCGCCATACTCTCTTTAATAATAAGAATTCATACATTAGGACAATTTCATCAAGACTCTTTGAAGAATGAAGAGATTAGATTGGCTGATCATTTTCTGCACAATAAGGTGTATTGTACCAGATCAGTTTCCATTTTACAGTCAAGTGATTGTGATTTCTGTTGTTGTTGGCCAAGAAGAAGGACTTAGAGGAGTTCTTGTGACTTAGAGTGGGGTATCTCTAAAGGTTGACAGAAAGAGGATTGTTTTTTCTGGGTGTATTTGTTATATGTGATTTGGAGTTGTAAGGAGAGTACATTGAGAAGGTTGTCTATGTATCTTGCTTGTAAGAACTCAATCATTATAGTGGATTTCCTTTCAGTCTAAGGTTGATTGAAAGAAGACTGGATGTAGACTTGGCCGAACTAGTATATATCATTGTGTGGATTTCTCTTTCCTTACTCTTGCATTGTTATTAATTCTTTATTGATTGCATTCCAAGAAAGATCAAAAGATTTTTGAAAAGATTTTTAAAGAACATATTTTTTATGTGTTGAGATTGTTGATAAGGGGAGCACTGGTTTAGCTAAACCTACAGTCTTAGAGCTTCTGGTTTTTTATGATGACAACACATAATTAACAACACATGTGATGTTTACGTGTTACATGTTCATAGCTTTCATGTTTATGTTGATTCTGTCATTGCTGCAATTCACTGTGCTTTACATGAGATCTTATCTGTGAATGCATAACATATGTTTTAGAAAAGGAAAACCACATGCATTTTTGTTGAACTTATAATATGTGGCAAAACAATAGTTTTAAGTCGACTTCATTATGAAGTAAGTCGATTAAAACTCGTGGCTTTGCACAAACTTTTTCAAAGTGTGTTGTGAGAATTTTTGAAGAGAAAGTTTTTCAAAACTTTGTTTAGTTGTGTTGTATAGTCGATTACATGCAACCTGCATTCGACTAAGTCGGTTACAGTTTTGAAATTTTGTTAATGCTTGAATTAAATGTTACAACGGCTATATTTTTAAATATGTTGACAAAGCATTTATTGTGATTCGACTGCATTAATTGTACATTCAATTAATTGCATTTATTGCTACTAACTGCGTTAACTGAATTGTGGTATTCGACTGCATTAGTAGCTAAGTCGACTAAAATGCGTCTGAATTGTGAAAATCTATAAATAAACGTGAATTTGATTTCTACAGGGACTTTTGTGATTCTAACGATTTGATTGATTTGTTTCAGATTATTGATCTCTTGCAGAACATGTAAAAGCTCCAAGAATTCATCAAGAAGACCGTGGTGTTTATCTTTGGTGATTGCTTGACGAGCAAGAATCTATGTGTTCTTACTGTCTGATCAACCTGCACTTGAGATGTCTATTTCATGATCAGTTTCTATCAATCTTGTGAAGATTGAAGTTGCCCTGTTGTGATTATAGTAAGAAGAGTGTGCTACGTTCTTGACTTTGAGGGGTTTCTCAAAGGTCTGAAGACGGTAGAAGAGGGGACATCTTGCTGTTGGTCTTTGTGTGTTGTATGCCTATATTCTGATTAGAGGGTTAGAGAGGTGTTTTATATTTTTGACCCGGAGGTTGCTATAAAAGCCTTGTTGTAAAAACCTTAATCATTATAGTGCATTTGCTTCCTATGGTGGAAGGACACTAGATGTAGGCTTGGCCGAACCAGCATAAAAACCCAGTGTTTGATTTTTCTATCCCTACTCTGTTACATTCAGTCAACTTTATTTTTCACGCATTCGACTATATTCTGCTGCACTATAAAGTCTTTTTCCTTGAGTTTCAAGAAAGCTTTTAAAGGCATCTACTTTGTGAAAAAGATTTAAAGAAAACATTGTGTTTGTATTTAACCAATTCCCCCCCTCTTGGTGTTGAAACTAAGCCATTCTATTTTCAACAATTGGCACCAGAGCTGGTTTTCATAAGATATTTGTAAAACAAGTCGATTACTTTTTTCTTTAAGTCGACTATTCCTGGAAAATGGCTTTTAGTTCTCAAACCTTTGGTGAAGGTGCATCAACAAATAGACCACCACTATTTGCTAATGAAAACTATGCTTTTTAGAAAATCCGGATGCATATCTTTCTTGAATCCGTGGATAAAGGTGTTGGGGATGCAACATTGAACGGTCCATTTGAGCCAACTCATGTTAATGGAAAAACTGTTTTGAAAATTTTTTCTGAGGGGACTCAGGATGAAAACCGTAGAGCACAATATGATGTCAAAGCATGTAATGTAGTTGCTTCTACACTAACTATGGATGAATTTTTCAGGATTTCACAGCGCAAGACAGCAAAGGAAATGTGGGACGTATTGGAGGTCACACACGAAGGCACATAACAACTAAAGAGAGCTAGAAAGAACTCATTGATACAGGAGTATGAACTGTTCAGGATGAAGGCTGGAAAGACTATATATGAAGTACAGAAAAGATTTACTCACATAGTCAACCACTTGATGGCTCTAGGAAAAGTGTTTGATAAAGAAGAGATCAATATTAAGATATTGAAAAGTCTGAATAGAAGCTGGCAACCCAAGGTTACTGCAATTTCTGAATCAAGAGACTTGACCAGCATGAACATGGCCACATTGTTTGGAAAACTCAAAGAACATGAGTTGGAGCTTGGAAGGCTAAAGGAGGAAGAAGAAATTGAAAAACAGAAATCGATTGGTCTAAAAGTCACAAGCAAGAAAGCTACAAAGATTCATGAACATGAAACTGAATCAGATGCAGATATACCAGAAAAAGAAATGATGAATATGATGGTAAGAAAATTTAGCAGATTCATGAAAAATAAAAATTTTGCAACTAACAATGCATGTTTCTCAAGAGGAGGAAAGAAGAGTTCAAGAAGCAATGTTGTTCAATGCTATGAATATGGAAAGGATGGTCATATCAAGCCTGACTGTCCAGACTTGAAGAACAAACAAAAAGAATTCTCCAAGTATCCTAAGGATAAGAATAGGAAGCAGAGGAAAACTTATATTGTTCGGGAAAATAGTGACTCAGACTCTTCAAGTGATGAAGACTGTGATCGCGAAGAAGAGTCAAATCTATGTTTCATGGCAGGCTCTGCACAATCAGACGATGATAGTGATCGTGAATTCAAAAATGAACCAATAGAAGTCAAGTACTACATGCTACTAGATGCATTTTAGGAAATTCATGCAGAGGCCATGCGACTTCAGTACAAAGTGAATCGATTATCATTTGAGAGAAGAGATTATGAATATATAATTGATAATCTTGTGAAAGATAGTGAAAAGCTTGAAAAAGATCTTGAAGAAGCTCTAAAATTTGCAAAGACAATAAAGACTGAAGTACAAGTTGTTGAGAAAGAGTGTCATAATCTGCCTAAACAGTTATGTGATTTCTTGATTAATTAGGAGTTGAAAACAAACTCTTTTGGGTGTAGAATGCAAATACAAAAAAGTAAATATGCATGCAATTTGATCAATTGGACAAAAGTGCAAAGATGAACAGTTTTGATATTAGGAGATGATTATGTTATTGGGGTTAGATTTCACCTAGTTTACTCTCATGTATATACGAATTCTACTTCTTAATTAATGTCAATGTCACTCTCTAAAACACTTAAAA